TGTAAAGAGAACAAACAAAGGCTGTCACTTGATTTTACGTTATGAGTTTATTGAAGCGCATCGTTACTTTTTTCTTTTGCAAGTATTCTTTTTCGTTTTCTTTTTCTTTTTCTTTAAAGTACTATAATGATATTTAAGTTAAATATTCGACGACGATGTTATTATTTATGGTATTCAACATCTGTTCAATCTATGCGATTAATAATTTTCTTTGGAATAATTTTGTTAATTTTTAAATTGATTATGTTAACAAGAAGAGAAACTTGTTGGCGTAAGTTTAACTTATTAATAAAAATTTCAGAAATAAATTATAATAATTGTTTAGTTGATAAATATCGTTCTCGTCTTTTTTGTTTTGTATTAACAAATGAAGCAAATTTGGAAAATCGAGCTCGTGCTGTATATGAAACATGGGGACGTCGATGTGGTCGATTTGTATTAGTTACTCGATTAAATTCTTCTATAAAATGTAAAAATGAAAATGGAAAGTCTGTTGGAAAATGTGAATTGCCAATAGAAAATATTCCAACATTGCCAGATGAAACTTATTCACATTTATCAGATAAAGTTCGTGCATCACTTATTTTTTTTAATAAATATTATCCAAATTATGATTGGTATCTTAAAGCAGATGATGATACTTATATTATTGTAGAAAATTTACTTCGATTTTTGATTAGTACCATTAAGTAATATATAAGAGATATTTATATTTATTTAATTAAATATATTTTGCATATTTAATAGACGATATCCAAAACCACTATTATATGGTTATCGATTTCGTGAAGATTACTATGTAAGTGGAGGTGCTGGATATGTATTAACACGTCAAGCAGTTGATTTATTATCTTCATATATTAAAAATGATTCAATATATTCTGAATGTAAATCATCAATGGAAGATATGATGGTGGGACAATGTTTACAAAAAATACTTCAATTAGTACCTTTTCATATAAAAAAAGATTTAACATTAGTTGGAGAAACAATTGATGAACATGGAAGAGAAAGATTTCATCCACTTGCTTTTCGTGTTCATTTTAATGGACCTTCAAACAAAACTAAAAGAGAATGGATTCATTTTAGACCTTTTCATCATACTATATTTGTATGTTTTTTTTTCTTTTCTTTTCTTTTCTATTATTTTATTTAAAATAGGGTTATGAAGCTTTAAGTGAAACTACAATTAGTTTTCATTATACACAACCAAGTGATATGTATCAAATTGATTCATTTATTTATGATATTCGACTATTTGATAAACAAGTGTGTCGTTTACATTTATAATTAAAAAATGATTTGAAAAACATTCGACGATTGATTATCGTGATAATAGTTAATCATATAACTAGTTTAATGTGTTAGGTAATTTTATTGAATAAATATGAATAAAAATTGTAATTTAAGTAAAAAAATATATAGTTTCAATCTTAGTATATCTAACTGATATATATAATAATATAAAACGTAATAAATAAGTATATTTAACTATTTATTTGTTTTTTTTTGTATAAAATTTTATCAATTTGACTAGGATAGATAAATAAAAAAAAATGATAGTATTGATTCACTTTATTAAGAAGTTTTATTTATAATTTGATAAAAAAAAAGAATATGAGAAAAATTTGAAAACAAACGAAACATTTGACAAAACATAAAATCTTTACTTAAATTCCATAAAAACTGTTGAGATTTAAAATTATTTGAAAATTTTTATTGATGATAAAATTCTTTCTAAATATAGAATATTTTCGTTTGAAACGTCAAGAAGATTTTCTTTGACTTGTGAAAATAATCAAATTCAAATAAGAAAATAATATTGATTATTGTTTTTATTTCAATAAATTTTCTCGTAAAAATATATAATGGAATCGAACGAAAACATTCTGTTGAACGTTGGTTTTTATTTTCAATTATCAAAACAGAATTTTTCTTTTAAGAATATTCATGTGTTCTATATTTTTAATAGAAACGTCTAAAATCATCTGTATAACAAAAAAGAAGAATATCTTTGAACTGATTTATTTTTTTTCTTGGAAAAATTGAGTATCTTAAACGAGAGAATTTAACTAAGAAAAAGAAATCATTGTCTTAAAAATATGTAAAAACAATGCAAAAAAATCTTTTTTTTTTCTTAAATGAAAAAATCAACATTTGAAATGTTCATTAATAGAATAAACTACAAATGAAATGACAAAAAAAAACCTTGTCTAATTATCAATAAGAGTATTAAATTAAAGTTTAAAATTCCAACTAAATTTTATTTTTTGCATTTATTATTTATTGAATCCGATTCAGTCGATATTGTGGAACAGGAAAGAGTCTCATGATTTTTTCTGAGAGAACGCACGAAAAATTTTTGGTTCTGATAGAAGAAAAATATAAGAAATTTTCTTAGTTGTCAGGAAAGAGAAGGATTATACACTCGACATTTCTCGGTCAGGTCATTGCTGATTGAATCAATATACTTAATAATAAATACTTCTATAGTAATATGTGTGTATTAGTACATGTATGTTAAATAAAATCTTCAATTATTCGATATAATCTTATTGTAATTTTATTTGCTTGATTTTATTAGAAAAACAAAATACTTACGGAATGTGCATTTTTTTGTCGTGTGACCTTGAATTGTCCCTACCAAAAACATGTTTGTACACAAACAATAAAGGCAAAAAAAAATACGAGACAGACATAAGATTATTGCCATTGATTAATGGCAAGCAGAAAAAGAAATGCGCAATATGTTATTTTGCTTGTTCGGTACCTTATTTTTCTTTTCCATGGCATCAATCTTCCTCAAAATATGTTAACTATTTGTCATTTTCAAAATCAAATTTCATATTTAACTAATTACTAAAAAAAAAAACAAAAACAAATATCTAAGACAATTGTATTAGTATCGAATATTGAAAAATTTTTTTTTTTTAAATTTAGCTAATTTTCCATTCGATGATTCGTTGCATCAACAAATGAATTGAACGACTTTTGTTACTCTCGTTTTGTTTTTTCTTTCTCGTAAATGAAATGATCATATTGAACTGTCATGAATAATATTAATGTTTCGATTTTGTTGATGATGTTTATTTGTTTGTAGAAAAAAAAAATATTCTTAGTGAAATAATTAATTTTTTCACATTATTTGCTTTTATTTAAATCAAAGAAGGGTGTTACAATGCTTTGATTACTACTAAAATAAATCAATAGATAAATCATTTTGACTTTAATGTTTTCGCTTTATATTTTAATTTTATTATAGAAAGGCAAAAACTAATTCTAGAAAATTAAAGACAAGAAAATGAATTTTTACTATTGATTTATTTATTGTCTCTTTCTTGCATATTATTTGAAGAAAATAATCTTTTTAAGTATGCATAGAAGTATATAATAAAGGAAAACACAGAGACAAATTTAATATAAATAATGTGAAGGAATTTATTGGGATTTGGTCAGCATAGATCGTGTGGATGCCGAGGCGAGTAACATTTGATTTGTGCTAAAGACTGATAATCCAAGTCCAATAATTGACATAAACACAGCTGCACTGAATGAGAAACGTTCTTTGTTCATTGCTGAATTTGTTAATTCATATTTCTAAATATAAAAAAAAAAAAAATTAATTAACGAAACAACAGACAAAAACAAAACAAAAAAATTATTTACAGTAAATAATCTTGATCCAGTCTTTGCAACAACGCCAAATATCATCCTGCTGTCTATTAAAGAGATTTTATCTAGGAAGAAAAATTGAAGTATTTATTTATTCCTAACAAAACAAAAAAAAAAATCCTAGTCTAACGAGAAAAACAACAGAACACATCTATTTATATAAATCGATAATTTATGAGTTGATGATGACGACATATGATATAACAATGATTGGTCGTTTTATTTTTCAATGAACCATTGAGACAAAAAAAAAAGAGCATAGATGGAGTTTAATTAGATTTTTCATTTTATTTCGTTGAATAAAACTAAATTTAATCATTTAATAAAATAAAAAATAAATATAAAATTGACTAAATATCATTTCAAAATAAATTGAATTAATTGTTATAAGAAAAATCCATATTTTATTGAATTTAAAAACAATGATTCAATAGAATTTCGCCTGAAATAAATTGAATTGAATTCGTTTTTCTTTTTCTTTAATAAGTTAAATATAATGGATTGTTCTCATTCATCGGTAGGTAGGTTTTTATTTTCTTTTAAACATATGTTTTATTATCTAATTTATTAAATTTCAAAAATTGAAAAAGAAAATGTTCTTGAAAAAGCACTTCGAACATATGAAGAAAGTGAACGTTCATTAAAATCAATTTGTAATACAGTTGAACAAGAAAATAATGAATTAGAAGAACAATTTAAAAATCTTCAAACACATCAAACAACATTAATTAAACAATATCATTTAATTAAAGAAAGTCTTCATCAAATTCGAGGTGAACATGCAAGATTAGCTGAAAGACAAATAATTCTTGATCAACAAACTAAACAAATTCAACAACGGTATATATATATATATATTTATTTCAAAAAACAAAAACATTCTTTTTTGTTTTTTTAAAGTTATGAACAAGTTAAAAATGCTTTAAAAAAAATAATTTCTTGTGCAAATTTAACAAATGAAGATTTTTCTGATGAAACATTTTCAATGTTAGGTTTTAAATTAATTCGAATTGATGAAGAAAGACGTTTAACTAATGATGTTGGAACTGATTATGATCCACCAGTATCATTTTCATCAAAAAGAAAAGTAAATCATCAAAATAAAGAATTTATTTTAAATGATTTTCATCATAAACATCATAAAACTAATTCATCTTCACAACGATCATCGAAGTAAAATGTTTCTTTTTTTTTTGTTTTTTTATTTCTGTCAGATTTAGAAAAAGAAAAACAAAGAAACAAAAATAGTCATTAAAGATAATATATTATATTAGAGTTTTTCTTTATTGTTAATTCTAGATTGCATTTCTTGAAATAAACTCGTCAATATGAGTGACGAGAGTCATATGGATATTGCTGATAAAAAAGAAACCTTGAATTCTTTATCAAATGAAGATAATTATGTATACCATCATTCATCTTCTTCTGAACATAATCAACAAGAAACATTGTTAACAGATGATAATAGAAATCATATTCATGATCAAACAAATCTTCATGAAAATTTATCAAATATTCAAACATCAGATAATTCTTTAAATCAAAGCGATTCTAGCGAAGAAACACCATTAAATTCTGAACTTATTCATTTTTCAACTGAGAGTGATGAAAAACAAATAAATAACCAACAAGACTCATTTAACCAAAATCCAATCTCTTCTCAACATTTTAATACTGCAAGTAATCAAAATCATGCGGATTTGTCTTCCGTCGAGCAACTTTTATCAAATATTCAACATCAACCAGATCCATTCAAGTTAGTTTTATTTTTAACTCTATTTTATTATTAAGTTGATAGTATAAGAGACATGACTTCCATGTAACAAGTAGTGTCTTACATGGGATTCTGATAGAAGCGGACTCATCAAAAGAAACTCTTAGTAGTCAGAATGATTGTAACTATAGATGATAATCACTAAATACTTTCATAGTTGCTTAGATTCAGTATCTACTCGAGAAATTTTCAGTATGATTATCTTAGGCATGTTTTAAAAAGTTTCAAAACTAATATAATTGACTTGTTTCTATTTATAGAAAAGACAAAGTAAAATTAAAAATCGTTCTAAACTTAACTTGATAGTCGTTCTTAATTTTAATTGATAAATTAAACTTCTAATTAATATTTTAGTAAGTTCTATGAAGCAAATTTTCTCAATTTTTAATTATTGATAGAAACTAATAGATTCAATTTGAAATTCTACATTGAACAAATATCAACTGGATTTCTCTTTTATCGAAACTAAAAACAATAAACCTATTGAAATGACTTACTCAAAAAAAAATAAATAAAACATTAAAATTCTTTTTCATAATAAATTCATATGTATCGTTATTCGAACATTGTCATTCTTGTACACATTATGGACGTCATACTTTCTAGTTATATTTTTCAAAATTTGCCTACGTTTTGTTTATCTATACGTATGACTATGACAGATTAAATATAGATAAGATAATTTCGAAATCTTATCAGATGATCTCGATTCCTCTTTTAGTTAATTATTGAGAAACTTAGTTGTTTTCATTCTTCTCTTATCAAATATCATAAAACTTCATAATAAATATTTTGCTATTTTATATTAAATAATTAACCAATACAAAAGAACACAGATTCACATCAACAAATTTTTTTCATCATAAAAAAGAAATAAAAAAATTCTTCATAATTTAATTTGTCTTTCTAAAAAAACTATAATTTTTGTTTTATTTTTATCGATTATCAATGAAAAATTTTAGATCAAACTTATTTTATTGAATTTTATCTAGATCACAACGTCAATCTGATGATGATGATATTCCTTCAGCTGAACCAGAACTTAATGAAATATCAATTAATCATCATAATGACGAATCTTCAACAGTCACACACTCAACCATAGATGATAATCGTATTTTAACAGAACTTGAAACGCCATATGAACATCATCATGAAAGTTATCTTATTCCAACAGAAACAATACTTGACGAAACAAATAATTCTTCAACCGAATCACAATCAAGTTCAAATGATAATAGTCCTTCAAATGAATCTGAAAAAGTAGATAATAATGTTCATTCAGTTGACTCAACAAACGATTCATCAATAGAATCAACATCAAATTCAACTGATAATAGTCCTTTAAATGAATCTAACAAAGTAAATGAAGATGAAATTCCTATAGTTGAACCAATACTGAATGCAACAACTGATTCGTCAATAGAATCACAATCAAGTTCAAATGATAATAGTTCATTAAATGAATCTGAAAAATTAGATGATGATAAACAAAAAATAGATATTATTCCATCAGAATCAACAATTGATAACCATATTGAAACAGAAGTGGAAATATCGAATCAGGATCATCAAATAAATGAATCTTCTTCAGTTGAATTGTCAATTAATCAAACAGCAACAAATGTCGAAACAAATATAAACGATATTCCTTTACTTCAATCAACAGTTGATCAAACAAATAATTCTTCGACTGAATCTGAATCAAATTTATCTGATCATCTTCTATTGGATAAATCTGAAAAAATACCTGAAAATGATGTTCCTTTAAATGAATCAACCCACGATCAAACAAATAGTTCTTCAATAGACTCTCAATCAAGTTCAACTGATAATAGTCCATCAATGGAACCTGAAAAAGTAGATGAAGATCATCATGAAAATGATACTGGTTTAGTTGAATCAATAGTTAATCAAACAAATGATTCTTCAATAGAGGTTGAATCAAACTCGATGGATCATCATGATTTAGTAGAATCTGAAAAAATAAATGAAGATTATCATAAAATTGATATTCGACCAGTCGATGAAACGAAGAATTCGTCAATAAAATTGGAATCAAATTTAATTAATAATGATCATTTAACTGAATTTGAAAAAACAAATGAAGATAATTATAAAAATGAAGAAACAAATATACCATTAAAATCATCTTTATTATCGGATGTTGTAAGTGAAACATTAGAAGAAAATTCAAATGATTTAAGTAGTGAAAGAATTGAATTAGAAAAAGAATCAACTGAAGATATAACTATTAAAAATGAAAATGATATTCTGGATAATATTGTTACAAATTTAACTAAAACATCAACAGACATTGAAGAAAAACTTGATAGAAAATCAAATAATTTAAATAAACAAGAAGAAGAAGAATCATTGTTATCAAATAGTAAATTGATTTCATCAGAATTTGAAGATATTCTTGGAAATAAAACTTTACTTAAACAAGTAAAAAAATAATAAAATTAAAGAAAAAAAAAAACTCTTTTTGTTTATTTAGACAATAGTTAAAGGTGAATTAAATAGTCGTCCAACACGTAGTACAATGGTAACAGTTTCATATAAATTATCATTAATTGATAATTTAACTTCAAATATTCATTTGATTGAAAATGTATCAAATGAAAGATTTTTTGCAAGTGAAGGTGATATAATACAAGCAATTGATATATGTGTTCAAACAATGGATCGTGGTGAATGTGCTTTAATTGATAGTGATATTCGACATTGTTATGGTGATATTGGTTGTCTAGAAAAACAAATTCCACCTGTATCTTCAAATAATTCCTATAGAATGAAAATTGAATTAGAATTACATGATTGGCAAAGTCCACCTGATGTTCAAAAATTATCAATTGATGAAAGACTTTATTGGGGAGATAAAAAACGACAAATGGGAAATTTTCATTATCGTCGTCAAGATTATTTAACATCTCTTCAATGTTATAATGGTGCTCTTCGTTTTTTAGATACAGATATTAATCCAATATTAATTTCATTTAATGAAGATCAACGATCTATATTAAATGATGCTTTTATTCAAGTAGAAAATAATGTTGCTCAAGTTAATTTACTTTTAAATAAATATGATGCTTGTTTACATGCTGTTGAAAATGTTCTTAAACATGATCCAAAAAATGTTAAAGCTTTATTTCGACAAGGAAAAGCTTTTTTTCAATTAGGTTTATATGATAAAGCTATTCAACCATTAAAATTATTTATACAAATTCAAAAAGGAAATCCAAATTCAGCTAGTGATAGAGAAAAAGTTAATGAAATGATTCAAATTTGTGAAAATAAATTGGCTAATTATCAAAAAAATGAAAAAGAAATTTATCAACGTATGTTTAGACCAAAAACAGAAAAACGTCAAATAAATAATACTAATCAGGTTTACAACTATTTCATATTCAATTTTATTCAATTTTATTATTTGCTTTTTTTTTTTTAATTAAGATTGATAATACAAATAACAGTTGGTGGCCATATATTGCTATAGGTACAGCTGTCTTTACTACTCTTGCTATTGTCACATTTATCAAACATCGGAATACTTCGTGAATAAATCAAATTCAGTGACTATTCGTTTTTTTTTTCCTTGCTATTTTTTTCTGCACGATTTGTTTGTATGTGTTTTCCAATGTGTTTTGTCTTTGAAAAGAACCCAGGTTTGTTTGTCTTTTGTTTAACCTTTTATCTTCTACATGGAACATCCTTTTATAACCAGACACGAACAAATAAAAACATGCTGACAGAAAAAAAATTATCATTCATTCATTCTATACATGAATAAAACTTGCTCAATGACGAAAGACACAACCTATAATCACACAATGATCAAGTTTATTCGAACGAAGAAACTTTTTCAACTGCATAATCGTTTTCTCATTGATAGCTGTTGCATCAAAGGTTATCATCCATGTTTAATTCAAATATGAACACAAAAAACCACCTTCAGATCTTCATATGCTGGTTTTATCGCCTCATAAAGTTTTCGCCAAAGTTATTTTTGATGTATCCAGATTATAGATAATATCGGATTATCTAGAAAATAGTAACTTTTTTCGTTTGTTTTTGTTGTTGAAAATACAGTTATTTTAATCCGTACAAGATATAAACTGGGCCATACAAGTCAAAGACACTTTATTTCAGTGTTTTCTATGAGAAGAAAGGAGGTAGTTATTTTGAGTGATATATAAAGTCAGAATCAAGATCCACACAGATTATCTGTCTCTGATCTAATTGATTGTAGTGTGAACAATAAGAAGGAACCTTTATTTTTTCTCTAGCAGAGCAGAGCTTAAGACACTTAGAATTTCATCGATCATATCATTACCAAAAGAACAGAAACGATTTTCAAAAATATATCATTAGATGTAGAATCGAACTGGCTACAATATACGGAAATTTTTTTTGACAAAGTGTTAATTATAACAATATAATATTATTAATTAATAATTTTTATTAATTGTTAACTAGAGATATATTTTGTTAAAGATTTTAATCTTCAAGTATACTGTTAAAAAGAGCATCGAAAATTGAATAACATTGTATTTTTGTTTGGTAATAACTATTCATAATAGTATACTTGAAGATATAAATTTCTGACAAAGCATGTCTCTAGTTAGTAATTCATAAAAAAAATTATTAAATCATTATAATTAATACTTTGTCAAAAAATTCTTGTATACTATAATATAGTCCGTTGAATTCCATATCTAATAGTATATTTTTGAAAATTGTTGCTGCTTCTTGATAACGATAAAATCGACAAAATACTAAGAGTATCTTCAACTTTTGTGATCCAGTTTAGATATTTGACAGATCTTACGGTGTCTATCACTACTCTATCCATTTTTATTTTGACACTTATTTTTATTCCTTAATTTTCATTTCTAGCCAACTCGTAAAATATATTAAAGTCTGGTATTGATTTGGTGTGTCATTTTTCTCCTACTTTCGTGCACATGATAAATGATACATCAAATTTATTAATGATTTCAAGAACTTCTAATCTTCTCGAGTTCAGTCTCTATACACCATAAAAATTAAGGAAACTAACTAATTTTTTTTTTTTACTGTGAACACATTCTGGTCATTGTGATCCTTTTCTTGCTTAATGATATTGCAGGAAATTGAGGACGAGAAACATTCTGACAGAAGCCGAACATTTCTTTGGTAATCCTTATTTGAGATATTGTTTACCTCAAATCTTTTAAATGTTTCTAACAGAGTTTAAAGCTATATTATAAACATCAGAACAGCTGGACGTATTTGGGTGAAGCATATTCATCGATTATGTTAGTAGACAAATTGATTTGTTTTACCTATCGTTATTTTTTCTGTCAAAACATCATTTTCATCTGATTGCTTATCTTTTATGTCAACTTCTCTCTACAATAATTCAACTTGGCCCTCTATAATAATGATTGTTTTATCTAACAATTCTTTAGTGTTTTCATCAACGTTGGAAATTACTTTTGAAATATGTCGAACAATTTCTTACAGGAGTATATATTAAGTAATGCAACGATGTTTGAAAGGTTTTGATGCAGACCTCAAATAGTTTTCTCGTTTTACTTCTACTTCATCTTGTGTATTCGCTAGTCTCTTTGTTCATATGTTTCGTTCAAGTGCTTAAAAATTTTCCTAATAATTTCTAATTAGATCTATCAACTGGCTCACTTCGAACGAACGAAAGTTATGTGGCACAGCGTCTCGAAGAGAAAGTCGAGAGGAATGACCAAATGAGGATACCATTGCCATCGTTCATGTAGGAAACAATGAATTGTCAAGATGAGATGGACGAAGTAGTGAATAATGAAATACCTACATTGGCAAGATCGAGTTGTTTGTCTCATAAGCCTTTGTGAATCATAACGTATATACGTTCACTTGTCACTTTGAACAGTTGCTCATAGATTTGTTGATTACTAAAATAAATATAAATAAGTTGCAATAATGGAATTGCATGAATTTGGTGAACTAACTGGTTGTTCATCTAGTATTTTAATAGAGAACATCCTGAACTGATCAATCAATTTTGAACTCGGCTTCTTTGTATAAAGTAAACTCTATTGAAATATGAAAAACTTCAAAAAAAGATAAATTCTCTTGAGATTTCTGTTCAAAGATATAGGTGCTGTGTACTGGAATTTTAGTCTGTGGTATGATATGCACCAAAAACTCGAATAAAAGTATTTCAACCAGGAATATTACCTATAGACAGGTCTATTTATAAGTAGACTATCCTGAAAATTTTCACTTAAAAGAACGTTACCCTCCAGTGCTATGAAAGTTCAAAAAAACGAAAATTCTCGCATCTTTTATAGAATATCGGTGATTTTGCAGGCTTTCATATTTCAGACAGAAAACATTTTTTTGAGCCGATATTTTCAAGATAGTCTACTGGCAATCAGACTTCTTTCTAGGTACATTATCAGATTGAAATATCTTCATACTAGTTTTTGATACATGTCATACCCGAGGCTAAAATTCCAGTAAAATGCCTATAGTAAATCTGCGCAAAAGATTCAAGAGAACTTATCCTTTTGTATTTTTATACATATATTTCATTGAAGTCTGTCTTATGTACAGAATCCGAATTCAAAAGCGATTGATTGCTTGAAAACGTCACCTCGTCAGATACAATCAAAAACACTTGTTAATGAACTATATTAGTGAGAAAATAGATCATAATAATCGAGCATGATGCGTAATTATAACAGGTTCTTTTGATAATTCATCTTCGATTTATCAGTGTTTATATATAACTATATGGCGAGATTATTTTTGATTATTGTTTGTCTTGATTGAATTATGTTCAGTTGAGATGATTTTCTAGTGACAGTTGTAGCATTTGAATCTGTCAAAATATTGTCTCTTGATTTTTACTCTCTCATGACAGATTCATTATTCTGTTAAGAATAATAAAAAAAACAAGGAAAACTGAATGTTTAATTGAATAGAAGTTTCGAAAATGATTTCAAGATCTAACAGTTGTACTGCATTTTCTAATTTCTCTGTTTTAATTGATTTCTTTCAATTTTATTTATTTGCTGTGAAATTGTTTTGAACAATGACTTAATATCCTATTTTATTTGTCGGAAGAATTCATCTAACATAAATCAACAAAAAAAACAGGGAATAAATAGAAAATGATTCGATAATAGATTATTAAAAAAAAACATTGGATTTTTATTTTATTCCAATTAAAATGAATACATTTTTAATGTTAATCATAATTATTTAATCGTTTATGTTTCTTTCACATGTCACCATGAACTTGATAAAACCTTGAAAAAAAATCTTGGTTATTTGTCATCTAGCACTTATCCATAAATTATCTATTTGAAATGACTTCTATTCCATTATTTGTTGTTATTTTGACCGAGTGATAAATTGATTCCCAGAAGAAATAACTGTCAAGGTTTTCTGCATTGATTTCTGGAGTAGAAAACGGAACAAAGTGACCTAAGATAGTAATCTGAAGGGGAAAAAAATATTATCATCGAAGTAGTTTTATTATTCTATATATAGAAAAAAAATTTAGAAATAATTTTCAATTAAAACTATCAAGTTTCTCTTAAATAAATTCGAATATAAAAATTTGATTTTGATAAATAAATATCGATTAAATTGATTTATTGATTTGAAAATGAATTTTTCTGATGTAGATCCATTTAAACTTAGCTAACTGTGATCAGGATATACTCTTTCATGATATGCTTTTTTTTTTCTTACAAGAATCTTTTCAAAAAGACTAAATTTTGGTTTATTTTAATACTGATACAAAAAATATTTTTTCTTTATGAATTGATTAATGTAAAAAGTAAATTAAATATAGATATTAATTAATAATTGAAAATATTTTAGTCACTATATCTTAATGTCTATCTTAGTTCAATAGAATGATTTTTATCTAAATAAAAACCTGATTGAACATATTGGTGCTTATATATTACATTAAGAAAATCAATTAGAAATTAATATTCTTATTTGGATTTGTTAAGTCATCATGATAAATCAATTATTTGTTCTCTTTATGAATAAAAAAAAAAAAATTTTTTATTATTCTTGATTAATTTTTGTTTTCTAAATCTGTTCTTATTTTATTTCTTGAATAAGAAAGGAGAGATAATACTACAATAGTAGAAACAAATATACAGACAAAGATTTACATAAAAGGAATTCTTTTAAATAGAGAAATGTTTTTTTTTATATTTACTTATCTTTCTTGTTCAGCCTGAAAAATAAATAAATTAGTTAAAAAAAACTAAAAATGAAATATTAATTGAAACTCTTACTGGATAAACAAAAGATGTTAATTCTTGACATTGATTTGAACAACAAATTCGACAAGTATATAAACCCATTGAATCATCAAAAGTAGCATTTTGCAAAATTAAATCTGTTGTTTCATTAAATGTATCTAATGGTTTATCATATGGATTAAACCATTTTGTTTTACATTCATCTTTTCGATCGGAAGCAAAACGACACATTAATGATACATAATTGCGAGGTTCAAATAAAGCTTGAGATGTATGAACTAGAATTTC